AAGTGGGGCAGGACGGCGTCCAGGCAGAGCCCGTGGTTCTGGGCAGGGCTCGGCTCCTCCCTGGGGTTGGCGGGAGGCCCTCAGTCCCTAGCCACGCGGGCCTCTGCAGCACAGCAGCTTGCTTCCTCAGAGCGAGCAACCGAGAGGGCAAGTGAGAAAGGGGGGGGAGGGGGAGGAGAGCACGCGGGAACAAGCCGGCAGCAGAGAGACCGCCGGCAAGGAGGAGGGACAGCCTTCTGTAAAGGAGGCTCCGAGTGACATCTCTCGCTTTGGCCGGCTCCTCTCAGAAGTGAGACTCTAGGCCCAGCCCAGGACAAGGGGAGGGATCACCCAGGGCATGAATAGCAGGGGGTGGGTCACTGAAGACTTGTAGACAAGCGGCCTGCACCCGCCTTGCCAAACACTCTGTCCTCACAGCATCCCAAGGAAGCCCGGGCCAGTGTCGCTGCCAGTTAAGCACAGGAGGGCTGGGAGGCCGTGGCCTGCCCGGGGTCACACAGCTCTTAGTGGGTAGAGCTAGATTCAGACTCTGCTCTGAGTCCCAAGCCCAGCTCCTGCGTGCCCACTGGTGTTTCTCGGACTGTCCCTGGACCCCACTCCAGCTTAGCCTGGGAGCCGGGCTGAGAACAGCCCCAGACAAACCAGTCCAGACTCGGGGGCCTGGGGACCCGAATTTGGCTGGCTTCCCGCAGGGGACTCAGATGCCCCCTGGAACCTGAGAGCGGGTGGTGCTGCCCCTCTGCACGGCGAGGACGGGATACCATGGACATGGCATTTCTCTCCCACACGAAGGGCTGGGTTTCGTTCGTTGGGCTTTGAAGGAAAACGGAGGCTGAATTGTCCAGTTTCAGTGATGCAGGGAAGGTGGTGATGGCATAAAATGTAGTCACTTTTGGGGTCCTTCCAAAACGAAGAAATTGGACATTAATGAGCTTCATGGGAAATGCCCAGCACAGTGTCTGCATGTAGGGGGCACTCTGATAAGTTGTGTTTTTCATTAACATTGTTAATGTTAATGATTAACTCATTAGTAGTATTAATTCCAGGGCAGTGAAAGCTTGCCTCACCTCAAATTCAGTGAAGAGATTTGGATTCTTTCCCTTTGCTCCTTTAGCGCTTTAGAAAATGAAGACCTGGCCAGGTAACCAGATGGTTAGAGCTCAATGTTGCGGGTTCAATCTGCAATCAGGGCACATACAAGAAGCAACCAATGAATGCATAAATAAGTGGAACAACAAACCGATGTCTGTCTCTCTCTCTCTCTCTCTCATATCAATCATTCAATAAATTAAAAAGAAAACGACATTTTGTTTGGGATTGGTGGTGTTGGTTGTTTGGGGCGGACGACAATTAATTTTCAGTAAATAACACCTGGGTGGATCTGGGTCCTGAGAAGCAGTGGTGTGGGTCCCCAACTGGGTTCTGGTGGATCCTGGGCCTGCCCTGGGCCAGCGAGGTCTCTGCTGTCCCTGGCCGATCCCTGAGGCAGGCGGGAGGCCGTGGTGATGGGACAGAGGGCCTCAGGAGCTGTTTTGTTCCTTGCAGATCAGGAGCGACACTTCGCAGATCTTGGAGGAAAACATCCCTCTCCTTAAGGCCAAGGTGATGGAAATGCGTGGCATCTACGCCAAAGTGGACCGGCTGGAGGTGTGTCCAGGAAAATGAGCTTTCTTTGTGAGATCCGTGGACTTGTTCTGGCTCTTTCGTCTTGTCTTCCAAGAGACTGATCTGACCCTGAGACTGTCAGGCATCAGACCTAGTGCAGGGGGTTGGGGCCTACACTCACGTGACGTTTAAAAAATATGACAAATATGAATTTATATAAAATATCATATTTAAAAAATTGGGTACTTTATATAAAATCTGAATGTTAAGCTGCTTTTGGAAATTCAGGAGCTTTGATAACGCTGGGCCCACATTTCTTTAAATACTTTCATCTATTTATTGTTCAAGGTATCTATACTAATAAAAGGGTAATATGCTAATTGGACTGGATGTCTTCCGGACGTCCTTCCTGACAAAGCTGGGCCCAGGAGAAGCCGCCTGCCCCTGGTCCTGGGCGCCTGGGCCTGTGACCAGGAGGGAGGGAGGAAGCCCGGGTCCCGGGTGCGGGGCCGAGGCAGAGGCAGTTAGGGGCGATCAGGCAGGCAGAGGTAGTTAGGGGCGATCAGGCAGGCAGGCAGAGTGGTTAGGGACAGGCAGGCAGGCAGGCAGGCAAGAGGTTAGAAGCCAGTGATCCCAGATTACGAGAGGCAGTTGGACATCCCCCGAGGGATCCCGGATTGGAGAGGGTGCAGGCCGGGCTGAGGGACTCCCCCACCCCCTGTGAACGAATTTTGTGCACCAGGCCTTTAGTAAATATATAAAATGCACCCATCTAAGTATACAATTCAGTTAATTTTTACTGAAATTCACATGTGACCCAAATTTGAGAAATGGGACATTTCCAAGTCGTAGGCTGAATTGTAGAGCTGGTGGCAGCTGCCCTTCAGCTGAGGCATGTGTTTGCTATTTCACCGCAGTCCCCACCACGCCCTATTGCCTCACTGCTGCCTTCTCTCCCCCATCTGTTACTGTGTGGGCTGAGCTGCACAGCATCTCATTGTCCTCCTTGCTGCGCCGCAGAGTCAGTACCCTCCTGTCCCATCTCCCAGAGGAGGAGCCTAAGCTCCGAGATGTACACCACTTACCCAGGGTCACGCAGCTAATTCCATGAAGCTGGGACTCAACTTCTGTCCACTTGGGCCTAAACTCTTAATTGAGCTGCAGCCCTCAGCTTGGGACCTTGGCTCCTTGCACAGAGAAGGACTGGGAGGCTGGGAGGAGCTTGCAGTGTGATAGTGGTCACCTGGACAGAGGGACGTGGCCCCTCGGAGCTGCAGAGGAAGGGAGCCTGGCAGGCAGTACTGAGTGAGCAGAGAATTAACATTCTTGTCAGCAGAGAATGAGGCAGGAATATAATTAAAACGTTGCCCTTGGAATAGCTGATTCATTTGAATTTTATTCTACACGTTGGGAAGAGGAAAAAGAAACATGAAGATTTGCAGCCCTGGTTCTTGCCTTGCTTGGGTCGGCCCAGCTCTCCAGCCCGATGCTTTCCTTAGCATTCGGTTCACTAACATCTATTGCGGGCCTACTATGCGCCACTCACAGTGAGAAAGATAGAGACAGTCCACAGCCATATTCTAGCAGGAGGGACTTGACGCCCAAGCATGACCTTAGCAGTTTCCTATTGCCACCGTCACAAATGACCTCACATTAGTGAGTTAAAGCATGGATTCATTATCTTATCGCTCCTAGGGCACAAGTCCAAACTGTGTCCCGCAGGCTGAAGTTGAGGTGTCAGCGGGTTCCTTTGGGAGGCTCTGGGGGGAGAACCACCCCTTTGCCTTTTCCAACTTCTGGAAGCTGCCTGCATTTCTCAGCTCATGACTCCTTCCTCCGTCTTCAGAGCCCACAGCCTAGCATCTCCCGTCTCTCTCCTACTCGGACCCTCCTCGCCCCTCTCCTGAGGACCCTGTGCTTACGTGGGGCCTCCTGAATCAGCCAGGGCCATTGCCGCCTTTCAAGATCTTAGTCACATCTGCAAAGGGCCTTTCGCCGAGTCAGGAAGCAGATGCCCAGGTTCCGGGGATGAGAACGTGGACATCTTTGGGGCCATTATTCTCCCGGCCACCATCAGCCTGGGCGACTGAGAGCGAGGCAGGTGCTGGGAGGGAAGGCGACCGAGGGGAGGAACCCATCGGCCCCTGGAGGGTGAGTGGAGGGAGCAGTGGCAGGGGAGGTGCGGGCAGGGGCACAGCCAAGACAGAAGCTCTGAGGCAGGGGGGAGACGGGCACCGGAAGGGTCAGGCTGTCCTGGTCCCCGGCCGTGGCCAGAGCAGGGCTGGGGAAATGGGGCAGCAGGAGCCCCGTTGTCTGGGCCTTGCAATCCAAGGTCAGGATTTGGCCTTTATCCTGAGGAACAGGAAGCCACTGAAAAGACGGGATTGCCTAGTGGTTAGGAGTGCCAGCTCTAGACAGCACAGCCTCAGTGCCCTCAGTACTCGGGGCATGAAATGCTATGGGGCGGGGCCATCCTGTGGGCATCACAGGGCTCAGCAGCAGCCTCGGCCTCCGCCTCCAAGATGCCAGCAGCATCTTCCCCGGCCCCGCCCCTGCCCCCCAGCTTCATTATGACAAACAACATGTCTCAGATGTTGCGAATGGCTCCTGGTGGGAACCTCTGCCCGAGTTCAATCCCGAGGCTGCCTCTTCCCAGTGTGCACCCCAGCAAGTTCCCTGTGAAGTGGGCACCAGTAGTGAGGTTCTTAGACCCAAAGTGTGTCGATCTTTACTCGACAAAGATCTGTAGGACGCTGACTGGGCTACGCTGAGGTGGGTGCTGGGAACATGGCTGGGGCGAGGCTCCCGGTCCCCTGCTAGTGGCTGTGGGGTGCTGGGTGAAGAAGTGGCCGGGGGGGGGGGGGGGGGTGGTGCCTGCCAGACCTAGAGCAGACAGCTGCCCAGGGCTGTGACCTCCACGCTGAGGCCTGAGAGGTGGAGCAGTGAGCCGGGAAGGGAACGCGGAGGCTGGGAGGAGAACGGCCTTTGGGGCAGTTGTGGGTAGGTGTAGTGTTCAAGATCAAGGGTGAGGCTGGGGTGGTGGGCCTGCTGGCCAGGTAGGGCCCAGTCATGGCTTTTGGATCCTGTTTTGAGGGGGCCAGGACTCATTAGAGGGGTTATAGTTACTATACTTTGTTTTCTCTCTGACAAAGTACAAAATAATTTTTTTAAAGTGTTCCATTCAGAGGTTCTTAGTATATTTACAAGATTGTACAATTATCACCACTATCTAATTCCAGAACATTTTATCGTCCCTAAAGGAAACTCCATATCCATTAGCAGTCATTCCCCCGCCCCTGGCAGCCGCTCATCTGCTTCCTGAATCTATGGATTGGCCTGTTCTGACGTTTCATAGTAATGGAATCATACAACCAACATGTGGCCTAGAGTGTCCGGCTCCTTTCACATAGCACGTTTTCAAGGTTCATTCATGTTGTAGTATGTGTCAGAACTTCAGCCCTTTTATGGCTGAATAATATTCCATCATATGGATGTACCACAGTTTGCTTATCTTTCATCAGTTGATGGGTGCTTGGTTTGTTTCCACCTTTGGGCGATTATGAATAACTAGAGGCCCGGGGGGGTGTCCCTCAGCCCAGCCTGTGCCCTATCGCAGTCCAGGAGCCCTCAGGGGAAGTTAGACTGACAGCTTAGGCCCGCTTCTTGTGGGGAGTGAGCCTAAGCCATAGTCAGACATCCTTAGTGCTACCACAGAGTCAGGAGAGGCTCCCACCACCACCACTGTGCTTCCCAGCCATCAGCCCGGCTTGTGGCTGAGCGGCACTCCCCCTGTGAGCATGCACTGACCACCAGGGGACAGCTCCTGCATTGAGCGTTTGCCCCTGGTGGTCAGTGAGCATCATAGTGACTGGTTGTTCCGCCATTCAGTCAATTTGCATATTACCCTTTTATTATATAGGAAGGATGCTGCCTAAATTTTATGTGGATACGTTTTCATTTCTCCTGGGTAAATACCTACGAGTAGAATTGCTGGATCATACAGTAACTCATTTTAGGAACTGCCAAACTATTTTCCAAAGTGACCACAGCATTTTGCACTCCCACCAGCATTTGCTATAAGTTTTAGATAAAGGTTGAAAACTCAGAGGCCAGTGGGAATCAGGACTGTGCTGAGCCGACCAACCTCAAGGCCCCCTCCGCTGTTATTTCCCAACAGCTGGTGCTGAAGAGCAACTGTCCGCTTCAGTGGATAGGATTCTCCAGGCTTGCCGCAGTCCCCACTCTGCCCTAGAGCCTCCCCACCATTGAGGCTGATGGCATTTGCCTTGTATCACCCCCCACCTTCCTGGGCTGTTGCTTTCCTTAGAGGAGAGAGAGATTGCTCTGTAAGTGGGTCTCTATCAAAAGGAGGAAAAACTAAGCTAGTCAGAAAGGGTCATGGATTTCGAGGCCAATGGGAGAATATGTATTTCCCATGCCATGTTGTATGACATCAGAACAGTACAACTTAGGCCCCTGCGAGAACCTGACATTGTACCGGGGTAGATGGATTCCACAGCCTGACTGCCTGGCCTCGGATCTGCCCTTTGGGTAACCCTTTACTCTTTTGTCCCCTGTAAGTTGGGGATGTGCTGTTTGTCCCTCGCAGAATCGTCATTGGGCCAGCACCTGGCACATTCAGGGGCGTAGTGAGGACACGCTGCCAGGTGGTCACTGCCCACAGGCGGGGAGAGGGGAAGGATGCTTGCCACTCAGCCAGCCGGCCACGGCCACGGCCATGGGCCCTAGGCCTTCCAAGGAGCCCAAGACCACCCTGCTCTCAGATCAGTGTGACCACTGGGTGGACGGAGCTTGGGAACTGGGCCCTTTCTCAGTTTTAATAATAAAACTAACATTTACTGAGCACCTGCTCTGAGCCAGGGACTCTTAGTGCTTTTCTCGTAAGAACTTGCTTTAACCTCACAGCAGCCCCAGGAGGAAGGTCCTGTTGTTGGTCCCATTTTATAGAGGAAGCAGCTGAGGCACAGAGAGGTGAAGTGGTTTGCCCAAGGCCACACAGCTAGGAAGTGGTGGAGCTGGTATTGCAAAAGGCTGTGCTCCTGACTGCGCCTCAGTGCTGAATGTTGGCACTTTCTGGGCAGGGACCTGCTCTGAAGCTGGGCCTTTGCCAGAGTGTTCAAATGCATTAGAACTCAAGTATATTTTACAACATTGGGGCTTTCTCCTTCCCTTCCCTTCCCCTTCCCCTTCCCCTTCCCCTTCCCCTTCCCCTTCTGTTCCAAGATCATGCTTCCTTCCCAGGGTACCCTCATCCTATGTCTATCAGGTATGGGGTGTAGATGCCTGACTTCCCAGTTCAACTAGTGACAACTCTGAAACATGAGCCTGGCTTCAGAACCACTCCAAAGTACTTGATTGGCTGAATCCTCCAATGAGAAGACATCCCAGCTTGATTTCTTACCTTTGTCCAATCCTCCTTCCTTCCCTTCCCTTCCCTTCCCTTCCCCTCCCTTCCCTCCTCCTTCCTTCCCTCCCTCCTTCTCTTTCTCCTCCCCTCCCACTCCCTCCTGATAATAAAAGTAACACATTTTAATTGTGTAGGGAAATATATAGAATCACCCAGACTCCATAACCCAGCCACCAGGGTGGCTACGATTGGCTGCCACCCTCTTTCTGTCCCCCAGCCCCGTCTGTGTGGATGCATATGTGTCTGCCCCAGTTGGCTGCAGGCTGGGGTGGCCCCAGTTCGGCCTCTCCCTGGCCCTGCTGGGCTGGGCTGCCCTCGCTGGCAGGCATTTGGGAGGCGGGTCAGACCTCGTGAGCGCGCATTCCTCAGCGTGGCCTCACTCCCCACCCGGCTGGTATTAGCGCAGGGAGCGTGAAATTGGAATCGGCTGGAAGGACTGCAGGACTTTCTTCTATTTCACAACCAGATGTGCTGGGCCAGCGAGGCCTCCAAGCTTGAGGGCCAGAGCCCTGGTCAGGGGAAGCTTCCTGCCCGTGGCCCCTTGTCCCCACCACACACGCACACACACACACACACACACACGCACACGCACACGCGCGCGCGCGCACACACACACACACACACACACACACGCACACGCGCGCGCACACACACACACCCCTGATGTGGCTCACTCGGCCTTTCAGCTCTGCCCCTGCCAGAACCCCAGGGAGCAGCACACCGTGGGCTCATCCAGTGCCTTTTTGCTGAGGATGCGTTGGTTCGCTCACTCACGCAGGCGCGCACTCATTCACGGTGCATCCCTCATGCCCTCACCGTCCAGCTGAGCCCACTAGCTGACCAGGCTCTGGTCGTGGCCTGTGGACAGCACTGACCCAGCACGTGCTCTTTCAGACAAGAAAGCCTCTCTGAGCCTTGGTTTCCCTTGTCTGTAAAACAGGCTAAAGATAGGGTCCCGATGGGGAGGATATGGGAGGACACACGGGGGCCTGGGCAAGCCGGGTTAGGGGTGGGGGTGGCTGCTGTTACTGTCGGGGCCCCTGGAGGCGGCCTCCCAGCTCAGGCACCACCTCCCCAG